CGACTAATCGTGGCAGCCCTAATTAATTGGGTGCCCTATAATCTGACAAAAAGCAAAAACAATCCCTAAGACGATATTGTAATAGAGCTGGTAAATATGATATATAGCCATGGGTGAAATGCCTGGAAAATATCATGAAATGGACCATTGATTTGTGTGACCAAACTCAACCAATGTTCAATCACACACCTTAGCTCCATCAACATACAAAGTCATGTTATGACCATTGTAAGCGGCCATCAGGTGAGTCCAGACATTGGCTCGGTACCGCTGGTGGCTGTGGACAGTGGTGGATTTCACAGCTCGGTCTGTACGAAGTGTGAAGTAGAAGCGTGCATCTCTGGTGCCAGCAGTTTCCACAGTGCGAATGCCTACTGACCAACCCTTCTCACTTAGTGAGTGGGAACAGTTGTCAAAGACACCTAGGGGAGAAAAGTGGTGGAAAAAAATGAATATTCACAATTTACAAAGAGTCAGCACCCTTGAGAAATCGAACAATCGCGCCAACAAGCAACCTTTCCAAGTGATTATACTCCTATGATTGCAGGAGGAGAGACTAAAAGAGAGAGCAGCGCATAGAGACACAGTTAGAGAAAGTAAGACAGAGAGAGTAGACAGAGCCAGAAACAGCAGGACAGAACAGAGAGGGGAAGAAGGACGGAGGTATTTCACTAAGCAAAGGCAAGGCCCTGATGTTTCCATCTGCTGTTGCAACAGACACACACAGACGCACATCTGCTCCCCAGATGTCAAATACTAGGACAGAGAAGGGTCAGGGAACCCCCTCACCCTCCTCAATTCTGTGTGTGTGTGTGTGTGTGTGTGTGTGTAGGCTTACTTGTGTGTCTAAAAGGGAAAAACATCCCCATGGAGTTGAGCCAGTTTCATGGCTAAGCATGTTATTCAGTAGTTGAGATAAGACTATAGATTTGTAGCTTAGTGTGGTAACTTCAAAATGGTATTTCACTTGCATTACACCGCAATGTTTCAGGACGACCAATCAACAAGCATCTTCAATGTGGCGATACGCATTCAGCTTAGTTATTGCACTGAATCAATATTTAACTCTGCAGCTATTTTGGCCTTTGTAGGGAAGCAGAAGCAGCTGGTAATATAACACTGATATACTGTGGATTTGTACAGTCAAACATATTTACAAACAATTTGGGATCAACTCCAGGAAAGTTCCTGGTGGCAAACTGATTTAAACATTGATCATAAAAATACTGCATCTGCATTTAAGCGTTGTTTCGTCCTCAAGAGCTAAATTTTAGATACAACTGAAATGTGCAGCACAAGACGACACTAACAATGTCACACTGAAAAAAGCCAAAAAATATCATTTTTAAGTTATCTAAGTGACTTATATATCATGTTTAACCTGAGTAGCGAAAGACAGCGGTGGGTTTGAAAATGATGTGCCGGGAGTCCGGTGTTCTCACGGCTCTAGTGAGCCTAGCCCCCGGCTAACTATCGAGCTAGTGGGTAACAGACGTCTCCGAAAACGTCGGAGCGCTTTTGAAAATATGTGGTGTCTTGATAAACTGAGCAGATATTTGAGGTTTACACAGCTACATTCTCGCCTGAAAATATGTTAAACGTTTATTTTGTGACCCAGAAAGAATAATAAGAGTAATATTAAAACTAACTAGCTGCCGCCATTGTTGGAAACTGAGCTGGGCTGCGCTATGAATTCTGGGACACAGCTTCTTCTTCTTCGGAGTTTAACGGCAGCTGGCATCCTTGTACATGCAGTGCTGCCATCTTCTGTTTCAGTCCGTTATTACACATTGGTGGCTAAACTTAGCAGTGTCAGCGCTAGAATATTTTTCCTTGCCCAAATGTCTGTGCAGTTAGCATCACTCAACTAACATCTTTGAAACAACAGGCAACTGATGTTGGACTAAACACAAGATAATTACATTAACCAACTTATTTTGTTGCTGCAAACTAGTAGGGGTGGGGGAAAAAATGGATACTGTGTAGTATGGTGATATTTTGTTTGCTAATAATGTATCGATACAGGGACAGCAGAAATCGATATTTTGTTACAAAAAACATGGACTGGAACTCTGACTTCAGAGCATGTTGATCCTTTTTCTGAGCAAGAATCCTGACATTCCTTCACTGTCCAAATGTGTTTAACTTGTTTTATGGCAGCAATAAACATGTTTTATTTTAATTAAGTTTAAACTTTTTTATTTAATGTAAAATTATATTTTGTTTTAATTTACTTTCAAATTCTTCAGTTGCTGACGGGGCTGCATAGTTTTCATAAACTGCATAGTTCAGAATAGCTATAATTGTACCAGATGGTTGCGTTCAGTTAAGTTGGACTAGACTGTAATACAAACCGTTCAGTTTGTCAACAATAAAACTGAAATGAGAGAAAGACTGAGTGTGAGACTTTGATATTAGATAAAATGAATATTGATAAAGTTTACCTTTATGTACAGAATCTGAATATCGCAAAATATTTTTTTAAAATTGCAATAATATCGTATCGTGCGTTAAGTATTGTGATAATATCGTATCGTGGGATGTATGGTGATTCCCACCTCTGCAAACTAGCAAGGACAGAAATGTCCCTATGCAGCAATTTTAAAGGGAAATACTTTGTATCCTCAATCCTAAATGCTCCATCTATCAAACTGCTGACCTCTTCTGTCTGCTGTGTGCTTGTTGGGCAGGTAGTGTACAGCATCAGAGATACTGTTAAAAAACTTCCTCTAACAAGGTTACTGAGGACAGTGAAACATCCAGGCCAGGAAACCCAAACAGTGGGCTGAATTACGCCCTGCAGAGCAGTGAGACGCTGTTGATGACTTTTTTTGCAGCTCACTACTACTGCTGCCAGACAACTCTACTGAATTACTCAACCATTTGATTCACTGTTAGAGTGCAGCTTTAAAAATGCTACATATAGCAGAGTAGGATACATGATCCAATCTAACATTGAAATCAAAACATACGACACTAAAGTAACAAGAAAATGAAACTTGAATAATTTAAGACTTTTATCAAAGACTTTAAAAACATTACTAACATTTAGAGAATCTTTTCATATACTATTGCTGCATATGTTGTGCAAACATGCATGGAATCATGCAATAATACATCTTATTATCTGTATTATATATTAATGCAGGGCTTGTCAAATGTACTAATGGCGTCATCATTACAGTGTTTGTCCAGCAGCGCACTCGGGACTGGACTGTTTACAACATTCTGCAGCGCACACAGTCACACAAGAATAAAGGGTTGAAATGTGCAAACAGATTTAAAAGATCATCAGTGACCATTAGAAGTCAAACCAATGTCAATGTCATGTCTAGCAGAAACAATAGGAGTTTGTTTTTTACCGAATTGGTCAAATTCCTTCTGGACACTACAAAGAGAAAGGCCCATGCCACAAAATGCCGCCCTCACATAAGGAAGCAATGAGGGGAAAGAAAAGTTGAGTAATGGAGTCGGATCTTTGATCAGAGTAAATGTGAGCGGACATAACAGTTTGTGGTCTCCCTCACTATCTGGACAGCTGCAGTGCTACACCATAGCGCTTTTATCCTCTTCAATTTGCTTGATGTATGTGTTGTTCTGTCAAGTGTGCAGCTTTTCAAATGCAACATTCTCAGTATTAGAAAAATAGCCGTGTTTGTCTTCATGAGAAGAGCCTGCAAAACAATGCAGGTTGTGTAGGAATCAGTGTGTCTGCAGCTGGCACTTACAATCAGTGGAAATCCACAGGGAAGCTAACTGTTGATGAGAAGCTGAGTGAAATCCATCGTGTTTTTTAAACAGAATCTATGTCCTGAATTAGAATTTACCTGGTTAAACCAATCTTTTAATGTTGTAACTCACTTTAGCTTTAGCGCTGTCACGATAACTGCGTATTGATGGGAACTGATCTTGAAAGGAGTTTATTTTCAGTTTTTCAAAGTTTCAGTGTTATTTCATTAAATTGATGAAAACCAACTAAAATTAATTGTAATTAAAAACAAAAAGTGAAAAAGCAAACGCTGTGACTTTGTGTCCAAAGTGTCGATGTGTTGCACTGTGGAAAAATCTAGAACCAACATCTTTTGTTTATATTTTGCAGTGTTTGGAGAGGATGCAGTGATTTATTGAAACATGAGCAAAGCATTCATGGGAACGCATTATAGAAAGCAAAGAAAATCAAACATCAGTGTTTGATATGACCACCATTATTCTGCGACACAGCCTGAACTTTTCGTATAATTCCTTTTAGTAACCTTCAGGTTCCCCAGTCTCACTGAAGGTCGGCCCACAGGTCTTCTTCTTCTTTCAGGTATGCTTTTACTTTTACTGGCAGCGTATTTGGGATCATGGTCATGCTAAAAGAATTAAGCCGTTATCAATCAACCACTTTCCAGATGTTATTGTCACAATCTGACCATAACTTGCTACATTCATAGTTCCATCAAACCCAACACCACTGGCTCTCATGCAGCCCCAAACCATGACACTGTTTTACTGTTGCTATAGACACTCACTGTTGTTTTTCTCTGTTTTGTACTTATTGACGACAATTTGAACCAAAAATTTGAAATCTGGATTCATCAGTGTGTAACACCTGTTCTTCAGTCCATCCATCCATCCATTCGCTTCTGCTTATCCTTTTCAGGGTCACGGGGGGCGCTGGAGCCTATCCCAGCTGTCATAGGGTGAGAGGCGGGGTACACCCTGGACAGGTCGCCAGTCTGTCGCAGGGCCAACACACAGAGACAGACAACCATTCGCACTCACTTTCATTCGCACATTCACACCTAGTGACAATTTGGATTATCCAATTAACCTATCCCCACAAGCTGCATGTCTTTGGGCGGTGGGAGGAAGCCGGAGTACCCACGCAAACACGGTGGCACGGTGGTTAGCACTGTTGCTGCACAGCAAGAAGGTCCTGAGTTCAATTCCACCATCAGGTCTTTCTGTGTGGAGTTTGCATGTTCTCCCCGTGTTTGCGTGGGTTCCCTCCGGGTACTCCGGCTTCCTCCCACCGTCCAAAGACATACAGCTTGTGGGGATAGGTTAATCTTCAGTCCAGTTTGTGCATCATTTTTTATGCGTCACCCTTTCGGTTTGTTTCCCTTCATAAAGAACGGCTTCTTCACAGCCTCCACTTGTCCCGGTTCCTCTGATTTTTTTAAGGACACACTGCACACCATGCTGTCAAGTTTGGGAATCACTACTTTATACTTGTTAAACTGTTATCTTTGTAACTTTTTATAGATTCAACTAAAGTTATATAGTTGTGACAGGCATGGCTAAACATTTCAGGCATGCAGAATATTTGAATGATTCATAGGTCACAATTAATTGACTTAACAAGCAAAAAAACATTTCCCCGAAAATGGTCAGGTACAAGGACTGGACTGAAAACAAGCCAACGTTCAGAGAAGAACTTTGAAAGACTTTTAGAACAACGGGAGAACATCTGACAAAATATAAAGAAGTGAGAAGTCGTTCAAGACTTTGTACAATCTTTTATGAACTGACGTTAAACTACACCGCGTCAGGCTGGCCTGCACTTTCTTCTAACGTAAATTTTTAGCACAAAACGGTGCAGCAAGTTAACATAAGCCATATTTAACCAGGTAAGTTGCTCCGTATAGATTTTTGTGGGATTTTTAGCTTAGCGTATAACATTTTAAGGCTACAATCTAACAATCTTGAAAGCAACATTTGCTTCCTGGTTTACATTGTAATCGTAAAATTCTTCCAAGAGGCTGTGTCGAGTGTCATCACTCATCACACAGTTATCAATACCAGCTATCAATATATTCATCGTCCTCTTTATAATAGCCTATTCTTCAGAAATGGAAATGATCCTGTCACATTATCTTCGTCAGCATCCGGTGGCAGCAATGATAATTGCTGTCGGTGTCCAATTATGTCCAATCACACTCATTATTGTTGTCAGCAGGGATGTAACTAGACCCTAAAACTTCCACGGTCTAGTTTGGGGTATGTATTCAAAACAAGCTGTACTCATTCATAAGATAATTCTATTAAGCTCGCATTTTTCTGGTTGTAATTATTGTTGGTACAACCCAAGGATAAGCTTGAGAAAATAGTAATGACGAGGAGCAAATGATACAATCTGATCGGAAATGTATCCATATTAAAATATTTTGTTTGCTTCGTTTCTTATGTTGCACATTTTGACACACTAGCCTAAATGAGTGCACCAGAAGAAAGCAACAATCGCCCTGAGGTTATGAAGGGAAGGATGTGACAGCACTGAACTGTGTTTTTGGAGTTCATCTGCGCTCAGTGTCAAAGGTTATGTGTGACAAAACAATAGGAGCAAAAGTGAAAGTTTTACAGTCTGGTAGGAAGATCTGCTGTGTGGTATGTTTGGAGACAGTGGCACTAACAAAAAGACATTTGAAGATGTTAAGATATTTTATTGGGATTGACCAGGAGGGAAAGCATTAGAGATGAGTATATCAGAGGGAGATCTCAGGTCAAAAGGAGACAGCCAAAAGAAGAAGATTAAAAACAAGATCTCCATCACAGTGTTAGCTTATCGAGTGGGGTGTGTCAGGGAAGCCTATTTGTTAATATAGACATTAACTAAAATAATACATGTTCTGTAGTGTTGGGTTGTTCTATGTTTGTTTCATTGTGTTTACAGTGTAGTTACTGAATTTGTGTATTAGCTGAAGATAGTTTTGTAAAGCTGTGACACCATGAGTGCAGTGGAGGCCTGCTAACTGAAATACTTTTATTTATCCACATAAGACCACTTTCAGTCAGAGACATATTTATATTACATATTTATCACCATCGTCATCCTTTCTCAGTGACCTCAGTTATGATCATTATTAAAAAGCTTTCTACTTCAAAACGTCTCAAAACTGACTGAGAAATTGCTCCATGCGGGTCTTATGAAGCTGTCGCCCTGTGTTTGCAGGATTATCCAAATTATCAGTAGGATGACTTCAACTTCCTCAGAATGCAGCAGTCCTTATATGTACACAGCATTTTGAACACAATACTCCAGTGTTGAAATCATTTCATTGGCTCCAGTTCAACATAGAATTAACTTTGGAATCCTTTGATTGGTTTGGCTCTCTCAGTCTCATCATCAGGTGCCTTTTAGCTGTTCCCAGAATTAAATCTATGAGCTCTTTGGAACAAGCTGACCTGAGGCTCATTAAAGCCGTGTCTACAAAAACAAACTTAAAACCTTTTTATTCACACTTAATAACTGTGTGTGTGTGT